ATGGTGAAAAAGTTGATTTCAGTCTGTTGCTAGAAATTTCTGCTGCAGATAGAAAAAAGTTTGAAAGTAAAAAGGCCAAAATAAGGAGAAAAACTGCTGATTGGACACTGATTTCTGAAACAGAGCAGTATTACAATGAGAAAGAAGAAATAATGAGAAACAAGAATAAACCAGACTCAGATAGTGAGAGTGATGAAAGTGATAATTGTGCTGAAAACAATGACTCTAAAAGTGAGTGTTCAGATGTCTCTGAAAATACAGCTAATCACACTAGAAGTAGGGGTAAAGGGAGGGGCAAACAGACAAGAACTATGGATGAAGATGAGGAAGAATCAAAATCTGTGGGGAAAAGGATTAAAGATGACACTGGTCAAAAAATGAAAAGTAGAAGAACTGTGGGAAGCAGAACAAGAAAGACACGTTATGATTTGACTCTTCTTAATGACGATGATGATGACGATGAAAACTTCTTTGGCTTTCCTGTTAGCACACCATTGCCACAAACACCTCAGGCTACTTCAACTACAGGCAGCTCCACTCAAGGTCGCTGCAAGATCAAAGGAAATATCAAGCGCTCTCCTGAGCCATCATCAAGTAGTGGGAAGTCTGGGAGAAAACGGTTGTCAGATGCAGAGAGATTCCTAAGAGACAACCGTGAGTACTATCACTTCCAAGAAACTACTGAAAGATTGCGGAGATCAACTTGCTCCTCAGCAGAAAAGGAAAAATATGGAAACGGTGATGATGCTGGTGCACAAGGCTCAAAGGAATATACCAGCAGAAGGGAAGAAATCAAATCCAAAGATAGTCCCTCCTCCTCCTGCTCTTCTCCATCTCCTTACTTGACCAGGACTCGACATGCAGTCTGTGGGGACAGGAGAGTAACCAGGAGTGCTGGAGGGATCCATGGTGAGGCTGAGGATGAGAAGGATGTGGAAGAGGATGAAAAGGATGGCGATTTGGAAAAGGAGAGGCATTCAGGAAGAGAGATGAGAAGGTGCAGAGACAAAAATGTTGCTAAAGAAAAAGAAAAAGAAAAGGAAAACATAAAGGAGAAGGAGAAGGAACCAGTAAAAGAGAAAGATAAGGATCATGCAAAGGAGAGAGAAAAGGACCATGTAAAAGAGAGAGAGAAGGATATTGCAGTAGAGAAAGAGAAGGAAAGAGATCTTGAGAAAGAGAGAGAAAAAGACAGTTTGCAACTTAATGTAAAGATAGATTCTGAAAAAGAAAAGGAAAAGGGCACAGTAAAAGGGGGAGAGAAAGACAGTAGAGAAGAGAAAGAGGACAAAGACAAAGAAAATTTACCAGGGAAACTAAAAGAGAAGGAAATTGTTAAAGAAGATGAAAAAAGTGTAGTGAGAGAGAACGAAAAAGATGTACTAAAAGATAAGGACAGGGATTCAACAAAGGAAAAAGAAACAGATTTATTAAAAGATAAACAAAAAGACACAAAAAAGGATAGTGAACCTGGTGCAACAAAGGATGAGAAAGGAGAGACTCTTCCAAAAGCTAAAGGGGAAAGTGCAGAAAGTCAAGAAACAGATGCAAGTATCGATGCTAAGTTGAGTGAGTTGTATTTTTCTTTCGAAGGTGTGCCTGAAAATGAGTGTTGGTTTCAGACGTATCAGAGATTTATAGATGGTATTGCTGTGAATGAATTTGTATACGATGAAGACCCACTGAAATTTGTGTTACCATATGAAATGCCAAGTGAATATGTACGTGATTTCATATCTATGAAGAAGAGCCTTTTGTCAAAGAAAAAGAATGACCTAGCAGATCTTGTAAGAAAATCTCCAAGGTGCCACGCTTCAACTCTTGCTCTATTTTCTGATATCATTCCTACCAAAAAGACGAAAGTTACCAGTACAACAAAAGTAGGGAAGACTGCCATTCTAAAGATAGATGAAGCATCATCAGATGGGACAAGCACACCAGGAGCAGACTCAACCAAAATGCAGCACACTGAAACTATTGAGTCAGCAGAAGAATTGGCTTTGCTTGCAATGCACATTGATCACATTATAAAAGCAGAGATTGGTGATGAAGACACCAGCACAACTACTTTGCAAGAAAATGAAATGAAAGAGAGTGAAGAGCCAGATATGAAGAAGACACCACCAAAGAAACGAGGCAAGAAGAAACGACTAGCAAGTGGTTCAAAATCTGAGAGAGAATCCGATCCTATGGTGAGAGAACTGAAGCTCTTTGAAAGCCCTTTTGCTCATGAGGTTGATCCAGCTTTCATTGCAAGTATACCTGATGAAATGAAAGACTTCATGACACCAGAGAATATCTTGGCTAGAGCAGCAGCTGAAGTAGTTGAGGATTCCTGTTATTGTGGGTGTACAGACCAGGGCTCTTGTGATGAGTTTTCTAGTGCAGATGACAATACTGAGGCCAGTTCTGAATGTGTTTCCTTGTGTGATTCTGAAACAATTGATAGTTCTACCACTAGTGAACCTAAACGTAGCCGTAGTGGTAAAAAACGCCGAAAGAACTTAACTGGTTGGCCAAAGGCCCAGAAGAGAAGGAGAACTGTTGCTCCTCTCACATCAGATGATAATGATAGTGCTATTGGATGTGATGATCTTGAACCAAAGAAGCGAGGGCGTAGGAAGAAACACAATGAATTCAGCTTTTTAGAGCAAACAACAGCGCAAAAACTTGCTGCCCTCGCTGCTTGTGATCGAAGAGCGTCCCCTCGCAAGAAAGCTTCCGTCTTGTACATGGACACGTGGCCTGTTAGATTTCGAACCCAAAAATAATATCTATTAAAATTTGTATGTAAAATGAGTCAAATAGGTCTGAATGCTGTATGGAAAGTTTATACATATTTATTATAAAATTGTATGGTATGCTTGGTAACTTGTTATTTTAAAAGGTGGAACCAAGGAGTCTCAGGATAGCTCTGTAAGAGATTGTGTCAGAAATCTTTGTACAGTTCTGTTTGTGCAGAAATTTTAAAGATGTGACTTTAGAATGTTTGTTTCAAATGCAATTTAAGGTGTAAGCATTTTTCTAATATTTTCCAGCTCTTGAAAAAGGTCTTTATCTAGTTCATTATAAATGTTTTTATTACTCTATTTATTTTATTTTCCTTTTTTGTAGGATATTAAGACAGATTAATACTTTTGTATGGAGTCAGTTGTTACATGTGAATTATATTGGCATTTTTTGATAATATGGATTTCATGTAAATCTCTCTGTCACTTTCATGTAGGTCCAAATGAGTTTATTATTATTTGCGTTTGTCTTAGTGGCTTTTCATCAGCATATGCATTTCAGTAGGGAGATTTCCCACTGAGAAATATAGGTTTAAATATGAGTTCTATTTATTTTTTTCAGAGGTACAGGCAGCGGTTTTCTATTGTCTGTTTTGTAGAGTGAACATGCAAAGTATGTGAAAAAATATACATTTTGTAAATAACAATCTTCTACTCAGAGTACTGGCCAATGATTCATAAATGTGAAATAAAGAGATGTTTGTACAATTCAGCTTGATTTATCCTTAATATATAGTTATGGATTATGATGCTGTGTAGTTGGTGATACATAAGTAAATTGATATTCCCTAAAAATTCAGGTGATGGCATTGCCCTAAATGTGGAAAGATGCATAGCAGGAAGGAATACTGTTTGGTTAGAAAATTTTCCTTAGTTCTTGAAAGTCTTGCCATAATGCAATGCCATATTATTCTGAGGTATTGTCAACCAATTGCACAGTGCATTGGCGAATTACCCTGAAAAATTATTGAAAAGCCATATATATGATTATTTACTGCATTTAAATTTGCTGATAGTAAGGGAGGTATCACCAGTATGTTGCAAGCGTTAGCAGAAATAAATTTTGAATTTATGAAATTTACTGGCATGATTTTACTTATCATTTTTTATTTAATCATTTATTTGGGAAATTATAGAATTATAGTCAATAGAAACTACTCTATTTGAAAAATGTAACTATATAATGTAAGCAGAGACATGTAAACTAAAGGAAAATAGAGCTTGCAATAAGATATATGAAATTCTGTAGCTTATAATAGATGAAAAGAGATCAGTAGTTACTAGCAATTTTGATATTTGACTGGTTGGTCAACAGATTTAAAGAATAAAAAAAAAAATTGCTCAGAATCTTTGCAGGTTGCCATCTAGGGTTTACATGATGTTCCTTGCAGCTTGTAGGTCATACTAGTCGTTATTTGTGATGAAATACTAATTAGCTCAGCACTGCCAACTGAATGTATGGTCATATGTCACATTCTTGAAATGTATATCACGCAAATGCTAACTTGGGGTAACAGTCCATTGTCTCTTGCATTATTTTTCTAGTACTCAAACAGTGTGAGTCAGAAGCATAATCAAAGGGGAATGTGACAACTACATCTGGAATTTGTGCATTTACTAATCAAATTAGATTTTTATTACATAAAAGGGGCTTTGTATTAGTAATAAAAGTTTCTCTATATATATAGAATGTTGTAGGTATGATCTTAAATTAGAGTAGACTATCACAGATTTTCAATAATTGTGTTCATACCAGGATAAAAAAGGGTTAGTACAATCAATGATTAGTAATTTGTTTATATTTTGTGACTGTGTTGTGACTAGAACTGGCAATGAGTGTTCAGAGCTAAGTCAGGTTGAGAGAAGCTGATGATAAGATGTAGAGGAAATGACTCTTCTCAGCAGATAACAACGACCTGGAGCAGATCTGAATATTAAAAAAAGTTACATACTAAACAAAATGCTGAGTACTATGATTTACATGGGACGTGATAAAATATCCAAAGATCTCTTTACTGGAAGAGCTATAAGACACAAACCAGTAAAGAACTAAACCTAGTTACATAAAAAGATGTTTTTGATAACCTTTTGGTAAGCAGCTTTCAGTTAATAAAAAAGCTTTCAGATTCCTCATTAACTTTAGAGAATAGCTGTGCAGAAACCTTTCTGGCTCTGTAATCATGCAATCACATGTCCATGGAAACATGGAAATTAATGTCAAATGGTTTATTGGCAGACAATGTTGGAGAGTGGAACAAAGAACTGGTACTATACATGTCAAAGTATTGTTTAAAAATATACATAAAAACAATCTTTATTTGGAAGGTATGAATTACATTTTATACATAATTTAGTACTAAATGATTCTTTACATACAATCAGGGTTGTAGGATAACTTCATTGAATAAGTGAAATTATAATACACATCAAAGGAATAAGCAAATTATTATTCACAAACACAATCAAGATAGCTTCTTTTCATATTTTTTACATTGATTTCTGCCTTAAAAAGTATGAATATTTACACTATCAAATGCTTGCATATCTAAGTAAACAAATCCATACAAATAATGAAACATGTAGGCATAATCAAATTTGATAAGTCTAATATAAAAGTACAGTTTAACTAAATTTTATTACTCGAATGGTAAGTTTAATAAATTTCTTTTTATAACTAAAATTCTGAAAACATCTTCAAAGATGTTTTGGAATGTCTTTATTTTCAGTAATCTCCATTACAACTCGGAAGATATACATTGGAATGTGTTTTAAGCAAGACCTTAACTTTAGCTTCAAGATCATGAAACTGTTGATAAAGGCATTACCCCACCAGTATTCATATATAACAATTTTAACTATTATTCTCTAAAATGTTACCCTGTTTTAAACCTTAAGAAATATGCTATCAAAACTATTGGCAATTCATCTAAAAATACCAGTAAATTTCTTTCATAGTGCAAATCAAAATGCTTCAATTGAGGATAAAATTTGTATTAAAAAATGGAATGAAAAAGACACACACGTACACACACAAAATTGTCATGGATCAATAATGTTTACATACTGCCAAACTTTATACAAAAACAGTCATTGGAAAGAAACTGACATATACATCTCTTTCTTTAGGTATACATACTTGTTTTTAAATGTGTGTATGGGTGTCTACATGCACAGAGCAAAGCTTAATCACATTCATGAAATAGGTTGAGAAACTTTTTTTTATGCTACTGTAAATTTGTATATGACAAGGTCTGTATCCATATAGATGTGTTTTTATGTTAACATATATGTAATAAACATATACCCACATGCAAACCCACACAACAATGGGTAAAATTTTTAGTTGTCAGGCAAGAATACACTTACATTAGTGCACACTGCTCACATATCGTGTCTAGATACTAGACAAGATTTATTCATCCAGAATTATATTATGATAAAGTTGTGCAGTATACATAACTAAATTTATGCCATTAATACTGGGATGTCCCTGAAGATACCTTTTAATATAACTGCCTTTTAATATAATTGGATGATTACATCCCAAGTAAAGTCTTGTGTTGAATCTTACTATAAAAAGTATTAATAAGAGAAAGCACCTAAATTAGCCATACACCGACCTGTAAATATACTAAAATATCAACTACTGTAATTTTCAGGTTAATTCCTTAGACAGAATATTCAGACTAGTATTCTTGACGTTTGAACCAGCACAAGATTGATACCCAAACTATTTGACAAGAACCAACAAATATAACTCGAGCTTGTGGTGGAAGGAACCTGAAGTTGATGAGAGAAGCAGGAACCCAGAATACACTTGCAGTCTGAAAAGAAAGAAAGAATTACATTGGATAAAATGCAAACAGAACATAACACTAAGGATGTATATTATAAAATGTCCTACTCCAAAAAATATGCACATATAATTATATATATATATATATATATATATATATATATATATATATATATATATATATATATATATATATATATATATATATATAAACATACCAAGAACGTAGGTAGAATCTTTTTCTTCCATTCCTCTAGGAGATCCTCTTTTCCTTCCATGGCACTCATTCCTGTTAAGTAGTTATTCCTGATTATTTTTTTAGCACTTAGTATAAGTATCTTTTGAATCTGAATTCATGAATATATTTAAATGAATTTTATAAAGATTTGTGTGACATAACTCAGTAACAATTATAATGATAATATCAAGCAAAGTTTAGGACTTGACATACCAACATAGAATAGGGTAAGATTGATTGGTGTAACTATGAGAGCATCTGCTGCCAACTTTGGTAAAACCACTGCTAAACTTTTACCGACAAACTTGGAATCCAAAAACTTGTACCTGCGAATAAACACTCAATTCGAAATTGGAAAAAATATGAGGCATATTTTAAAATATGTATGAAAATCAATACAAAAGTCTGCTGGGCATTTTATGCTACTAGAACACAAACAACTGTGACTGCATGACTCTACAACTACAACACAAGAATCAGAGATAAACTATCATGCCCTTGCGACCCTATGGTCAACAGTGCATCTGGTTTCATGAAATGCCAAACATATAAGAATAGTAACAAATACCATTAACTGCATACAATTTAGTTTCATAAAAGGATTACTGTTACAGACAGCTAGTCTGTTAATTTAGTTACTAATAAATGGTAGGTTTCCTCTGCATTTCCTAAAATCAGTTATAATGCTGACAGCTAAATTGCTAGGGCACTATAATTTAACCCTCAGATTTGTGTGTAGCAACTACAGCTGTTATTAAAATGACCTTCAACATCTTATGTATCTATTAATGCTGTGTGATTGGATTCTGTTAAAATTGTGTTTATTTCAATGTATGAACACATTCAAGGTAATTATAATTCTTACTTCCTAAATCTGGAATACAGATGGTATAATAACAATGTTCACCAAAAATATCTAATCATCAATATTTGATAACCAATATCAAAAAGAAAAAGAAAAAGAAAAAAAAATCAGTGACAAAATGTACCTAGTCACCACATTATCACAACGAATATTCATGCATCATGCATAAACTAATAAGATATGTACAAAGAATGTAGCATCAACAATTCTATTATTCACATATTCTTTTACATCAAAATAAATATTAATGAAATCAACTTAATGCAGAAATTAAAAAGTAGAGTGCAAATGAGAAATAAGAACACAATAGATAAAAAGATAAAAAAAAGGGAAGTGGGTTTTGACAGGAATAATATAAATGAAAAAAAGTAAATAGGGGTATTTGAATAAAGAAAGGAAAAGAGGTAAATGGAGATAGAGAAGGTAAGAAACAGGATGAGGAAAAGGAAAGGGAGATAACAACATAAATTCACAACTTGCTGTAAGCACCTGTGATATGAATATTCCATGCAATATATATGTGGCTTGACTGGAGAAACTAAAATTGATGGTTCATTCTACTTAGCAGCCAGCTTTATCTCTTAAAAATTGGTTCTCTTTCTTCAGCAGACAGCCTTAGGATAGTTTCTATTCCACACAGAAAGAGAATATAAGATAAATAATTTTTAATATAATATCATTTTAATCAAGTATCATTATGATGTTGATATTCATTCTTCTGTTTCTGTTTTGGGGAAGTCTATATTTACTTACTGAATATTGTATAAATTATATTATCAACAAATATTCAATGAAGTTTAACCCATTCACAATAAGTGATGTCCTATAATGTTATGGCAAAAAAATCACTGACACTAAGTGATTTTAATCACATCATGAGCCCATTTCTCAGCATCTGGGGTGATGCCTCAAGAGCCCAGCTGTGAGAATAGACCAAGTGCAGGCTTATACACTTCTACCTCATCAAACCTTTGCCAAAAATTTACCCTTCATGAATGGGTTAATTGCCAATATCAACCCTGATGCAAAACATTTTGAGACAGAAAGAAAAGAAATCTATGATAGTCAGATACTATCAATTCGATGCCCCTGGGGATGGCATGTATATACATGTCATGCCCACTGAGAATTTAGTTTATTAATTGTCTTTTACACATAGATGACTCCCCAATGTACCACATCAACACTAAGCCAATTACTGGTATCTCAACTGTTTATCCTTTTCCTTGAATTTTGGAAATATTATCTTTTTTGATCTTATATTACTGTTAGTAATGTCAACAACATTATAATGATCATAATGTCTATAATAATAATAATAATATTGATAATGATAGCATTAGCAAAAAATGCACTTTTGTCAACACAAGGAAATGTGAAATCACGTGAAGTCACAAGCTCTACTCATTTACTCCTTTGTGGCTAACCACTTGCAGTACCAAAGATATTTTCTATTGATATTTTACTGTTGTCAAAAACCTACAAGAGAACCAAATACAAGTCTTCTAGGAAGATTCTTTAACAACTTCTTCTCTGACACCTGTATTAAAAATCTGGTGAGGGAAAATATTTTCTGGCAAATGCTAAACACTTATGGGAAGGAGATATGAAAGTTCAAATGGTCTACTTCAATTTCTAATGGCTAGTGCATTAACTCAGATAAGAAGAAATATATTATGAGTAAGGTATTTTAAGGTGTAATCAAAACATGACTTGTATGCATTATATTGACAAGTAAAGAGCTATTCGGGATATAGAAATTTGATAGAGATGGCTGCTCATCAATAGTAGGACCATTGAAAAGGAAAATAAAAAGTATGCTTAAAAAAAGGACCTCAGTATAATGGAATTTACAGATATATATATGCTTCCTGCTACCACACAACACAGTAACTCAAAACATCTCAAGTTTCACTTAAAACGGCATGCTTCCTAACTCCTTAAGCATAAGGCATAAGCCAAAGCACAAGCACTCCTCACCAGAAAGAGAGAACAGCACTCCAAGCTGTACCCAGGACAGCATAGCGGGATAATTGCCTTACATCATAACCGCCCCTTCTCAGGTCAACCTGCGCCACCTAACAGAGGAGTGGTGTGCCACTCAGTAACTAGGAATAACCATATCATGACAAATTGGTGCTCCTGCCGTGCAAAGTGCAATTGTGGGGTGAAGTTGCTGCTATTGGATATAATTGTGCCCTCACATGCCATA